GGGGGGGGGGGGGGGGGGGGGGGGGGGGGGGGGGCAGCCGTCACAATCAGGTGGGTGCAGGGAGCCACCTCAGCCTTCCTGTGGGGCCAGATGTGTGTCCCGAGGAAGCTTGCCTTTCAAACCGCTGACCGTGTATTCTCCGTCTCGCGCAGATCTTGTTAGGGATACAGGAACTTCTAAACGAACCAAATATCCAGGACCCAGCTCAAGCAGAGGCCTACACGATCTACTGGTTAGTAGCCGTCGGCGCTGCCTGCTCTGGCCGCTCGCTGGCCTGCATGCGTTTCCCTGGAAGTCCGGTCCGGGCTGCCTGTGAGAAGGGGAGCCGCAGGCCGGCTGTGGTGGGGGGAGCAGTCCCTGCCGCTCCCGGCAGCCTTCGAGGAAGGCCGTGAGACACCAGCTGTGACGGGGAGACCGAGTGAGGCCGCCAGGGAAGCGTCTGAGGCCAGGAAGCAACCAGGACAGGCCTTGTAGGCAGCAGCAGCTGCAGGTGCAAAGGGCCTGTGGTGGGCAGGAACGGTGAGCCAGGGCTGGCATGGCCACAGTGTTGTGGGCCTGGGGCGTGGCAGGAGGTGGAGGTCAGGTGACATGGGCCTCTGTTGGCCACTGTGTCCCTGGTGACCTCAGGCCAGTGCAGAGGGAAAGGCCTCCAGCTGCGGGTGCCAGAGGCGGTGTCTCTGATAGCGCAGCTCCCCAGGGCCCAGGTCTCCCGCCATAGCCCTCCTGTCGCCCCTTCCTGCTTCCCAGTCCCTCCTGGGCCTGGGTGTGGCCATTGGGGAGCGGCACTTCTGGCTTGCTGGCCGCCCAGCTGTTGTGATGTCCCCACCAGCCAGGCATGCGTGTCCCAGCCCTTCCCTGCGTGGCACTGTGGTGGCCTCTAAGTCTGTGGGCCGGTGTCCGTCACCTGTGCCTAGGGAGTAAGGCCAGGTGTGGCTGAGGGCGGGTCGCAAGGTGAGACCTGGTGCCATGAGCCTGGCTGGGCTGGAAGGGGGCGTACGCCGGGGGGGGGGCCTCTGGGACCTGCGGGCTAGCATGCAGGGGGGAGGCTGGGCAGGGGCGGCGTCCTCCCGGAGGATGTTTCTGGAATCTGGTGCAGAGGGTGAGAGCTGAGGTCAGGGCCATTCTCTGACTGGTCTGAGCAGCAGGCGAGATGTCCGATGCCCATCTGCGGGCAGTGCCAGCTTACGAGCGAAGGGCAGGCCCTCAGGCCAGAGCCCACGTCCCCCGAGGCGTGTTCCTGCCGTGGTTCAGCTGGAGGTCACATTGTCCCCTTGGCAGCTGTGTGCCAGTGGCTCCTGAGGCGCAGCCCCTGTTGTAGCGCTGGGTGAGGTCGCCACGATGTGTGTCTGCAGCAGCCGGCCGGCCCAGGCCTCGTACAAGGCCACTCGGGGCGGGATGTGCCCAGTTCTCACGACAGAGACCACGTGGCCTGCGAAGCTAAGAGGTTTCCGTGGCCTTCAGGGCCTTGCCGCCGGCCCCGGCGTGTGCCGCGTCGCAGGGGTGATGTTTTCTGTGGCTGGTGGTGCACGGGCACCACAGCGCCCCCGTGAGCGGCTCGCCTTTCCGTGCCTGCGTCCGTAGCTGCCGGGGCAGCGGGCGCCGCAGGGTGGGCAGCCACTTGCCAGGCTTCCCGCAGCAGCTGGGCTCCCCGCCGCCGTCACACACCCTCTTCCACGAGTCCTCCACCAGGTCCCTCTGCAGGGCGCACGGGACCGCTTCCCAGCTGATGTGACTGCCTTCTAGCTCCTTCCAGAGCCTCCTAGGCAGCTACCTGCACCCTGGGGCCTCGGGCCGGGCCGTTGGCTGGGGTGGGAGCGCAGGTGGCTTGGCCCATTGTCCCTCCACCCTGGGGGCCCCTGCACACCCCGGAGCCTGGGCCACAGGTGACCCAGAGCAGCACCCTGAGAGGCACGCTTCTAGAGCGCATGGCTTGGAGGGACCCCTCTCTGTCGGGAAGCACTACGCTCTCCCAGACGGGTCCCCCCCCCCGCGCGCACTCTGCCTTGGCTCCCCGGGGAGGGGGTCCCAGACCAGCCCTGGAGGTCATGACGGCCCCCTGGAGAAAACCAGTGCCGAGTCCTGTCCCGTCTGGGGGGCACGGTGGTGCCCAGCGGTCCGGACCCCTTCCGGGGCTGTTGTGTGGTTTCAAACCCAGAGGTGCCGGTTGCCGGTGAGACTCGTAAACTTCCACTGCACCCCCCGTCCCCAGGCCTTTCTGACTGGGCGCCGCCCACTTTGCACCCCGCCAACTGCCCGGCCCTGGGCCCCATGGGGGCTGCACCTGCTGACGTGTCTCTCTCTTGACCCCCTCAGCCAAAACAGAGTGGAGTACGAGAAGAGGGTTCGAGCACAAGCCAAGAAGTTCGCACCTTCATAAGCGGCGACCGCTGGCAGCGTGAGAAGGAAGGGATTGGTTTGGCAAGAACTTGTTTACAACTTTTGCAAATCTGACGTTGCTCTGTACAGTGACTAGTCACCTGGGGAGGGTGGGGCGGGCGCCATTTTCCATTTCCGCCGCTGGTACACGGTCCTCGACTCGCTGGATTGCCCGGGTTTTCATACAGGGTCTCTTCCTTCCGTCTTTTGTATTTTTGATTGTTATGTAAAACTTGCTTTTATTTTAATATTGATGTCAGTATTTCAACTGCTGTAAAATTACAAACTTTTATACTTCGATGAGCCCCGCGGAGCTAGTTTCCTTTGCTCGCGGATGCAGGCATGCTTCCCACAGCGCAGAGCTCCCCCGGCCCCCGCTGGCCCCCGCCTCGTCCCCGCACACCCCGGGTTGTGTTGCTTTTGAGCCTCAGATCCAAAGTCAGCCAGCGTCTCGTTCCCGCATCACTTCCTTTGTGTCTATATGGCGTTTTGTCTGTGTTGCTGTTTAGAGTAAATAAACTGTTTATATAAAGGTTTTTGTGGCATCATCGTCATTAAGAGCGAGAGGCGGCCTCACCAGGCCGGGCCCCCACGCGGCTGCAGGCCGGCGGCGCACAGCTTGCTGCCGAGCTCAGCTGCGCCTGGATCCGCGTGGCGCTCGGGCCTGGCCCCCGTGAACAGTGCTGTGTGCGAGGCGGTGCGAGTCTGGGGTTTGGCCCCTGGCCCCGGGTCTTTGGGCTCTGCGGGGAGCTGACCTGGTCAGGGCGGATCTGGCGCCAGGATCCTCCTGAGCCGGCGCAGGGGACCGTCCGGGCATGTGCCAGAGCCTGCCCTGGGGGCTGGGGCCTTCCTGCAGCTGCGCGCTCCCCCAGGTGCGGGTGGCCTGATGTCAGGATGTTCTAGAGACAGGTCTGAGGCCGGTGCGTGCGGGCTCTTCCTCTTTCCCGAAGGGCTCTTCTCAGCGCCCCAGATCCCGAGCCCGCTGTGCGGCTTCCCCAGGCTGGCTGCCTGCTCGCCTGGGAAACGGACTTGACTCCAGCCCAGCCAGGAGGCGCCACAGAAGGGGACAGGCCCGGTGTCCTGACGGGACCGGAGGCCCGGAGCCTGCCCTGAGCCAGCCGGCCTCGCTTTGCCAGCCGCCTCACCCATGTGGCTCCAGTGCAGGGCCAGGCACAGGGATCCCCAAAGGGGTGGGAGCCGGTCGCCAGGGCCCTCGGTCGGGAAGGGCACCTTGACTCGCCAGGCAGCAGGATGGCAGTGGACTTGGGGGACCGCGTGAGGCCCCGTCCACAGCGCCTGCGTGGCCCCTCGGTCCCAGTGCCTTGCTCGCTGGCTTGGCTGCACGTTTGGCTGAGCTAGATGCGTGACGCTGGCGATGTGTTTTCTCACGCAGATGGCCTCACGGGGCCCAGCCGCGCGGTGTGTGCGCGGCCTCTGCCAGAAAGTCTTATTTTGTAATGACTGAGCTACACTTAGTAATAGGCACAGGTGTATATGGTTAATATATATGGAAATTCGATATATTTTCTAGGTAAAGCGTTCTGAAGTAATCGATGTTTCTAGCAAATTGTCACGACTTCAACTAATGAGATGTCCTCTGTGCCACAGTCCTTGGCCTAACGAAGATGTAACTCTTGTGACGGGGGAAGGGTGGACTGCGCCCGGCCTACTTCCGATGTGCGGGAAGAGCGTGTGTTCGCAGCATGAGGCGCCCGATGATCACTAAGGAATTGTGGGCAGTCCGTTCACCACTGTATCTCCGAATCCTCCGATTAAAGCATTTCCACACGTGCTGCCTGCAGCCTGTGTCCTTTCCTGCCCTGCCCCACACAGGCCACCCGACCGCCGGCCTCCCAGGTCAGACCCTCGGTGGGTCGCGGGGGCAGGGCTGCCCCCCGCCGCCCCCCCATCGTTCCCCCAGAGGCCACGTGAGGGCAGCAGAGGCCGGGAACTCATCCGGTGCTGGCCCTCGCGCTGGAGCAGTGTCCCTCCTGGAGACCCCTGGCTGGGGCTCCTCCGGTGCCCGGACCCTGAGCACGTGTCAGCCCCTCCTTGGGGCTCCCAGGACAAACTGGCCACAAGAAGACGGGCTGCGGATCCCCGAGAGTCACCCCCCCTGCCTCCTGCACGCCCCCCCTCCCCCCCCAGGCCAGTGCTGCACCCTCACACCTGTCCACCCAGGCCACCTCATCTCCCCGGGCCGCCCAAAACCCTCTCGGCTCACATCGGGCTCTCTGGATGGGCAGCCTCCGTTTTGAGGTTGCCATGACGACGAGTGGCCAGGCTGAGCGCTGACTTGGGCCGGCTCGAACCGGTCTGAGCCTGCTCCAGCAGGGAGGGGCTGAGCCTGGGGGTGTCCGGCCACAGTGGCCTGTGCAGCTCATCCATAGTCCTCCAGGGACTGTGACCCCACCTGCAGAGGCCCTGACCCTGCCTGAGGGGGCTGGCTTAGGACCCCAGGGTGGCCAGGGGTTGGAGCACCGACCCCAGGAGCCCGGCCTCTCTCAGGAAGCTGCCAGGGCCGGGTCCTGGGTTCTCCCTCCCGGGGCTCTGCCACCCTCCTGAAGAAAGGGGCTCACTGTCCCCCAGCCATGGAGCCCCAGAACCTGGCCACCCGTCACACAGAGACTAAGGCTCAGTACCCGGTTCCCCCATGTTTGCGTCCAACGTCACACACAACCCTTGCCCCCTCCAGGGGTGGGGGTAAGAGGGGCCCTCCCTCCTGGGGGCGTGGCCTGGCACACCTGCCCTGGGTGGGAAGCTGAGGGTCAGGCTCCGTGGACAGACCCGGGACAGTGCTCTGCAGCCCTGCCGCCTGCCCCCACAGAGACCACGGAGCCCTGCGAGGGTCTGCTCCGCTCCCACCCCCCCAAGTCTGGCGCCCAGGAGCACCCTGGCCCAGCCCAGGCTTCACCTGTGCGGGTGCTGGCACCCACCAGGGCTCTAGGAGCCTGCATTTCAGGTGAGGGCCAGATCCCCTCCCACCTGGGCCACCTCTTCTGCTGGCAGAAGCGCCCGTGATGGAACAGGCAACGGGACAGAGCCACGCAGTCAGCGCCCTGGCCAAGTCTCCAGGCTGGGCTCCCACCGCCTCGGAGGCTGCCCCCTCTGCGGGCCTCCGACAGGCGCCCCCATGCAGGCGCGCCATGCAGGCGGGAGGGGTGGGAGTCGTCGCACTGCCAGAAGGTTATGCCTGCAATTCCGATGGCTGACGCTAGAGGGCGTCAGAACAAGCATCTTAATTTAAGGTGTTTTTTTTAAATATATTTTTAATGTTTATTTTTAAGTGAGAGAGAGAGAGAGCACAAGGAGGGGAGAGGCATAAAGAGGGGGAGACACAGAATCCAAAGCAGGTTCCAGGCTCCGCGCTGGCCGCAAGCTCCAAGCTATCAGCACAGAGCCCAATGTGGGGCTGGAACCCACAAACCGCGAGATCATGGCCTGAGCTGAAGCTGGACGCTGAACCAGCTGAGCTACCCAGGTGCCCCAAGATTTTATTTTTTAAGTAATATCTACATGCAACGTGAGGCTCCAACCTACAACCCGAGATCGCTAGTTGCACGCTCTGTTGACCCAGCCAGCCGGGTGCCCCGAGCATCTTTACACCATGAAGGGTCAGGTGGCCTTACAGAGACGGCCCCTCCCTCCTCCCACGCTGCCTTCCTCCAGCGGCCACCCATCGCTTCGGGAGCCTGGGGGTCTTCCCCTGGCCCCAAGGAGGGAAACCACCCCCTGCCTGCCCGCCAGAGGGTGTGAGCTCCCCGCCCCCCAGCCAGGCCCCTCTAGGAGAAGGGTTCTGGACCTCACTGCTGCTGTGACAAGTACGCGTTCCGCGTTGCCCGCTCCCCGCTGTAGAGTCACCCCCAACCTACGGAGGCGGGGACTGAGTCCCTGGAGGGCCGGCCCGCTGTGGCCACAGTCCCCATCCGTGTGGGATGGTGGAGTGTGCAGCTCACACTATCAAGTACTTGCTTCTCACTGAGATCCTCGCTCCCTTCACTGATGGCAGCAAACTGCTACGTCCATTTTCTTTTTAGGTTTATTTATGCATTTTGAGAGACAGCAAGCAGTGGAGGGGGACAGGGAGAGAGTGAGAGAACCCCAAGAAGGCCCTGCACCGCCAGCACAGAGCCAGACACGGGGCTGGAGCCCATGAACGGCAAGATCATGACCAAGAGTCCCAGGCTTCACTGGCTGAGCCACCCAGTCACTCCCTGCTATGTCCATTTTACAAAAAAGGGAAACTGAGGCCCAGAGCTGGGTTACAGACCCAGCCGGTTGCTGTGTGGCCCTGAAAAAGCCCTTCCCCCTCTCTGGGCCTCAGTTTCCTTCTCTGTAAATGAGGGTGGTGAGGTCTCGCAGGCCCGCCACCCCAGCAGGCCGCAGTGTTGGGGCTGGTGCCTCTGCGGTGCTAGCCCCCAGGCTCTTGCTCCCCAAAGGGCATTGGACGGGGGTGCGAGCAAGGGCCCCTCCCTGGCAGCTGCCTCTCCTAACTTCCTGTCTGTAGCAGCTGCAGAATCTCTTCACCCCGAAGCCATTAGGATCACCATGGCAACCAGACCTGTGTTTGTTCCAACAGGTTGGCAGAACCTAACGAAAGGCTGGAGTGGAGGGGTCAGCTCCGAGGTCCCGGCCCAGGACCCGCCAGTCCCCGGGGAAGAACGGGAGCTGCCCCCTCCCCGATCCCTGTCTGGTCCAGTGGATGAGGAAGCCCAGGTAGCTGCTCGCTCGCTCCCCTGCACTCCCTGTCCCCAGCAGTTGACACGTGTCCTGAGCACCTCTGTCCCCCTTTGCCTGGCTGTGCTGGGTCAGGATGGAAGCAGGGCCCGGAGACAGAGTTTCAGAAGGAGAATCCACCCTGCGGTGCTCACCCCCCCGTTCTGTGTCTCCCCCAGACTCCAGTACAGACGGGCGGAGGGCAGCTTGGACGCGTGTGGGTCTGGACCCAGGGTTGGCCCATCAGAGCAGTGTCCCCCCCCCACCTGGGATGGCGGAGGAAGCACCTGGTCCCCCACCCCGGGCTGGGGTGCTGCTGGCCAGCCTCTCCCCACGCTCCCGCACCCACCCACCCACTCCACGTGATACAAAGCACAGATGTTCCCGGTGTGCAGCTGTTTTGGAAACCGGCTTCAGCCTCCGGCCCTTGGCTCAGCTCAGCTGACCCCTGGCCTCCCCCAGCGACGCGTGCTTGCCTCTGGGCCTATTTCCCACACTGCCTGGGGTCCCACATGAGAGATGAGGTCCTTTGAGGTAAAAACATCTCCAAATCTGTCGATCCCCGAAGTACACGGCACTCTGATGGGCCAAAGGCAAGGGGAGCCAGGGACCCAGTGCACCTCACAGTTCCAGAGCCTTCACGTCCCTTCCACGACCCCCCGCCCTGCCGGAAACTTGTTAGAAACGCAGATGGGGCACCTGGGTGGCTCAGTTTTCAGCCAGTTTTCAGCTCAGGTCATGATCTCACGGTTTGGTGAGTTCGAGCCCGGCGCTGGGCTCTGCACTTGACAGTGTGGAGCCAGCTTGGGTCTCTGTCTCC